GAGCAACTGTTGCTACGTTCGCACAACTGAATGCTGCCCAGCGGGTGAACAGGCACGGACCACGGACTACCAAACCCCACAGCAGCAGCGGCACATCTCAAAAACAGCATGCTGAGCAAGAACAGCCGGACCCCACAGAGTACAGGCTGCGCCGACATGTTTCCATTCTATGAAGTTCTAGAGCAAGAAGACAAAGCAATGGCTGCAGAAATCACAGCAGTGGCTGCCTCCGTGGGGCCCGGGGAGGCCGAGGAGGGGAAGGCTCTACACCTTGTTCCGAGTGGCGGTCGTGTGGGTACGTGCCATTGTCAGAAACCACTGAACTGAGCGCTTACAATCCGTGCAATCTCCCGCATCTCAACGACAGCTCAGTAAAAAATACACATGCCAGAGAGAGAGAGGGAGAGAGAAGCAAGTGAGAAAACCCATTTCTAACCCACACCCCATACCCGCCCCCTAGGCCCTGCAAAATGAGCAAAGTGACTTTACATTCTGGGCTCTGAGCAGGCAGGGGCAGGGCTAGGTGTGAAATGACTGGGTGTTTTCTGAAATCCCAACAGCGGCACCAGTCTGCAGGGCAGGGCCAAAGCCCTCCGGCCTCGGGCAGAGCCGCTGCGAGTCATGGCTGGAGACGCTCTGGAAAGTTGTCACGGTACCAGGTATCTGCGCCTGCAGACATCCGCCGGCTCGCTGCAGCCCCTGTCTCCCCACGAGGCCGTGTGGAAACCCTTGTTGTCCTCTCCCACTTGTTCAGCATTTAGGAGGGCATCGTGACGCGCCAGGCCCCGGCAAACATGGACTGGGCTGGTCCTTACAGGAGAGAGACCAATAAGCAAACGTGGCTGTCAGAGCACAAAGAGGGGACCCCGCACCTGTGGGGGGTCGCTTCCTCTGCCGGGAGCCATCTACACAGGGGCCTTGGATAAGGAGGAATCGGCCGAGCCACTGAGGACTGGGGCAGGAGAGGGCTCTAGGTCGGCAGTTCTCAAGCTCTGCCGAACACCAGGATCGTGGGGGACACCTCTGCAAGTCTCTGTGCTTGGGCTGCACCCCAACGAGCCAAATCAGTCTCCGGGGCAGGGCCGGGGGATCCGTATCTCGTGTGTGTGTGTGTGTGTGTGTGTGTGTGTGTGTGTGTGTGTGTGTTAATTCTAGCGTGCAGCCCAGTTTGACAACCTGTGTTCTGGGTGGGGTCACAGCCTGAGCAAAGCTGGCAAGTTAGGGAAGATCCCCGTGCACTTGGGGACTGGGCAGCAGACAGGAGGGAGGTCGGGAAGCGCAGCTGCGAAGGTGCAGCTCAGGGGTCCTCAAACTTTTTAAACAGGGGCCAGTTCACTGTCCCTCAGACCGTGGGAGGGCCGGACTATAGTTTAAAAAAAAATATGAACAAATTCCTATGCACACTGCACATCTCTTATTTTGAAGTAAAAAAACAAACGGGCGAAAACACCCGCATGTGGCCCACGGGCCGTAGCTTGAGGACGCCTGGGTAGCAGGTGGAATGAACTGCACCCCCTGAACTGCGCGTTCGCCCGGAGCCTCAGAGCATGCCGTATTTGGAAATAAGATCTTTGCGGATATAACTGAGGTAAAGATGGAGATGAGATCGGCCTGGATGGGGGTTTAGATCCAAAGATGCGTGTCCTACAGAATGGGACACACGCAGAGAGACGCGGAGAAGGGGGGTGCAGCCGCCAGCGCTGGAGAAAGGCATGGGGCGGACTTTCCCTCGGGGCCTCCAGCGGAACCAACCCTTGATTTCGGACTTCTGGCCTGCAGAACTGAGAGAGAATAAACTTCTGCTGTTTGGAGCCACCCAGTTTGTGGGGATGTTTCGGCAGCCTGGGGAACGGGGGCGGGGGCGGGGGGGGAGCAGGGGCAGCGTGACCACCCCGAGGAGACAGGGCCAGGAGCACGGAGGAGCCGGGAGGCAGGGGCTGGGCCCGGCAGGCAGGAGGCAGAGCAGGGTGGGGACTGCTCCACCCCAGTGGACGGGGCAGGGGGGAGGGGGGAGGGCTGCGGGCAGCTGCCGGCCGGCCGTGGGTGGCTTGTTGTTGGGGAAGACGAGGGTGTTCCCTTCTGACCTCGTCCCGTTCCCAGGAAAGTGGGAGGTGCGGTTATCTGCCTGCAGTGGGAAGGGGCGGGGGCGGCGCCCCGAGGCCGGGAGACTGGAGAGGGTTCAAAGCAGCCTCCCCCAGAACAAGGGAAGGAGCAGTGGTGCAAACCAGAAGGGTCTCCTTGGCAATACTGAAGACCTAGCGGAAACAGGAGACCAGAAACATGCACTCGGGGCGCGTCTGCGCCAAAGTGAGAATGGACCTCTGGCAAGCGGGTATTATCAATAAACAAACAGAAGGAACCTGCACTGTTTAGCAGACCACTCCACTTTCCAAAGAGTGGCCTCCGGTGGTTTGTTCCTGTGTTTTCTACTAAAAATTCAAAGAACTTACCCTTGATCCCTAAGAGGGCAGATAAAGGCACCTCCAAAGTAAATAAGTTAGCCTTGCAAATAAGTACCAGCCCACGAAGTGTTTTTCTTACCAGCTCACCCTCCCCAAAGGGTATACACTAAGTCGTTAGTCAATAAATATTTATTTTACACATCTTTGCTAATGCATGCTATTGACCAATTGTCGACAGATATCTATTGAACATCTCCCTGTGGATTACACAGTCAGCCAAGACGTCCAATATTTACGGAGCTAACAGGCTCTGGTCTAGGGCAACAGAACGAAGGAGGGAAAATAAATGACAGAAGATGACGGGTGAGAGAGGCAGAGAAGCCAACTGGTAGCTCAGCTTGGCACTGCAAGAAAGGGTGGGTTATGGAAACCAAAAGAAGGTATTTCATAGAACCAGGAAGTTGGAGGCTCTGGCTTTGCTATCTACTAAGTAAAAATGGGTCAATCACTCTCCCAAGAAAGTCTCAGTTTCCTTATCTGTCAAAACGAGGTAGATGAATCAGTCGGAAAAAAAACTCTCAAGGTCCAGATAACTTTCTAACGCCCTGAAGGTCTTGCTGGAGGTACCCCCGGCTCAGTGATGATCCTTAAAGTCTCAGATGGACGTAGATAAGTTGCCTTGAGGAACCCAAAGACAGAGAGGAACATGGGCTCCTGGTCCTCACCTTGCTACAAACCACAGCCCCACGCCAGAGAGCGCGTCACTTGCCAGAAAGGGGAGCCCTTATCTGCTCAAAATCCCCCAAATCAGTGAGGAAGAGCCCGAGCTTCCTTCCCAAAACATCGTGAGATGTTCAAAACCAAGCTGGGCGGGGCAGCCACCGTGACCCGCGTTCGGGGGATGGGGGGTGGGGTCTGCCGAGCAGAGCGGGGAATTCCAATGTCTCTACAGAGACGTGGTTTCCAGCACTTGTTCTCCCTTGCTATCTGCTGCTGGGTCTCTCTCCTCCAACATCAGAGCACAAACTCGACGCCAGTTCAGCCTGCACTGTATCTTCACTCGCGAGGCTGGAAGAAGTCAGAGGGCTTCTTCACTTGCTTCCAAAGACCAAGTTGCCCAACGTGTTCTGCGTAAAATATTCATGCTTCCCCTTCGCTTACCAGTGTCTTAAGACCACCTCTGATTAACAGAAGCCACAGGCAGACTCTGACATGCAGAGTATTTTGAATTTGTTGCCATTTTTTTTAAAAATCAGATTTTTGGTTTCTCTTTACAAAGTCAGAAGATGTGGCCACATTGAGTCTACACTCCCATGTGGAAACAATGGCTACAGTTAAGTAACAGCAGCTCATTTAAGTGGGGAATGTGCCATCCTGGCCCCCAATCTCCGCTACTCCCTAATGTCTGCCACCCAACTCACTCCATTCATTTTCACAACTGCCCAGGCCTCTGTAGGAAATTGATTTTATGACACCAGTTATGGTAAAATGTCCAGTACAAAGGCAAAAAAAAAAATTTAATTATGGAACATGATTATAACAACAAAAAGAAAATATTCTTAGAAGGAAAAGACTAAAAAATATATATATGTAAGCAGTTTTTGTTTCTGGAACAATGTTTACTTTTCTTCTTTATACCTTTTAAAGTAATTTCTAAACATTCAAACACTGAGCAGACAGTCAGCTTTGTCATGTCTAATTGCAAAAGCTAACAAGACTTCTAGAAAGTGCCTAAGGATGAGCACAAAGCTACTTCTTTTGAAACCTGGTAGGAAGGAGCCAGGTTTCTGCTCAGTATCTTGCCAGGTGGCAGATCTTGGCCACTTCATACTAGTTCTAAAAATCTTCTACAACTTTACAAACCATCTGTTTGGGTGTCCTTATCCTCACCAGACCGTAAGCTTGCTGGGGACAGAGAGGGCATCTTGTGTTCCCCAAGCACCCGGCACAGTGCTGGACACAAACATGCCTCAGTCGCCACACAGGGACCGGCCGCAGGGGCTGGGGTGGGCGTGGTCCCTGCATGCAAAGCACCGGTTCCAATCCCAACCCTGCCATTCCTGGTTGTATGCACAGGTTTCTCACCCCCTCGGGTCTCTCCCTTCTCATCTGTAAAATGGGCATAGTAACAGCAGCTAGCGCAGAGGACTGCTGTGCATGTTAAATGGCCCGTTCCATGCCGAGCACTTGGCGCTGTGACCAGCAGAGTCAAAGCTGAACCAGAGTCACTGTGATATTGTTGTTCACATTGACAGGAGAGAGCAGGAAAAGAAAGAAGGGACATGCTGTGCAATGAACTCACTCCAAATGCATCTACCCCTTTTCAAGCCAGAATAATATTTACACATTTTGAATCTTCTAAACAAGGCTGTAGGCTACTCATTAGCGGTATTATTTCATTTCCTGGGAGGCCGCAAAGCCCTCCAGAAGCAAATAAAAGCAGAGCCTGGAAACCCTTAAATGTGCCCTGTCACTGGCCCCTTTGGTCCTTTGCGGCCAACACGCCCCTGTAGGCCCCGCACATCCCTGCGGCCCCCCCGGGCACTGTGCCCGGGCGCACGCCCACTCTCCGAAGGCCCCGCCCGGAGCCCCGCTTACAGCACTCGATGGGGTTGGATGCGGCCTGCAAGGACACGATCCTGCCGCTGGACTCCGGGACGTGGACCCGGAACACCAGCCTCACGCGCGTGTTCTTCCTCCCGATGTCCGTCTCGCCCTTGCGCAGCTCGATGTCCGCGTTCCTCAGCTTCAGGATCCCCGCGCAGTCGATGCTGCCGGAGGTTAAGCAGCCCGTCGGTAAACAGGAAACGTCACGCCTCGAACCCTCTCAACTTACCCTGTGGCCGGCCACAGGGCTTAACTGCAAAGCCCCCGCGAGCATTCCGGCCAGGAATTTATACCAAGACAGGGGTTAAAAAAAAAAAAAAAAAAAAAACACACACACAAAAACTTAAAGTAATTAAATTCCCCAGTGGAAATTACTTCTCTGGGGGGATTTTTCATGCCAACTCTTCTATTCTCAAAAGCATCTGAAAAACTCTACGCAACTAGTGAACATTGATCACCAGTAGCTGAGGGAAGCGAGCGCCGCTGAATCTCTTGAATGCGACAAACGTACCAGGGTTGTGTAAGAGCACATCCTTGCTTGTAGGAAGTGCACCCGGAAGCATTTAAAAGGAAAAAGGGCATAACGTCTACAACCAGCTCTCAAACGGTCTGGGCAAGGGGGTGAGGAAGGAATTATAAAGCGGATGTGAAAAATATCGCCAACTGGTAAATCTGAGCCACCAGGTCACGGCGCTCAGGAGCTCTCTGCACGCTCCTTGCAGTTTTCCTGTAAGTCTGAATTTATTTTCCCATGTGGAGGTTTTCAATCCCCAAACACGTGTATAGTGTCTCCCAAATTTTAGCCATAGGCACAGGCATATTTAGCTGCAGGTGCATTAGCATTGTGCGTTTGGACCTCCCTGCATTGTTATCTCCACGGTCAGATCAACTTTCTCAATGTAAATACATTTAGCCTCATCCCAAGCGACACAACTCAAAGATTCCTGAGTATTCTTCCTCCCAAGACATATGAGAATAGCCACGGAAAGAGAACTGCCATCAGCGGCTGCTTCCGTCAACTCCGCAGAGTCCCCTCTCCCAAATCCCTGCCGCTGCCCCTGCCCCCCGCCCCGTCAGGACCCCCAGCCTCGAGCCCTTACGTTGCCCTCATGTTGTTTTTCGGCTCCAGGGGGATCTCCAGGACCTTGGTGTTGCCCACGATCTTCTCGTAGCTGGTGGTGGTCACGGTCTTCCCGGTGATGCGGTGCACCTGGTAGAAGGCGTGCGGCTTCAGGATCCGCTCGTCGGCCGTCCCGATGAAGATCTGAAGCCCCAGAGGCTTATTTTCCATGTAGCCGTGGAGCTGCGGGGAGAAAACGGAATCGTCAACGCTCGGGCCGCGGTGGCTCCAGTCCAGCAAAACGAAAACGACCAGAGAACCTACGAGCAGTAGGAAGAAGACAGGATTGTCACATCATCGGGAAGAACGTGGAACCGGAAGCAACCCTGATGTCCAGCCAGAGGGGATGGCTTGGATAAAGTTCAGAGATTTCCCCCTAAAATGGAACACGAAGCGGCCAGGAGGAAGAACTGCATTTCTGGAGAGTAGATCAGAACTGCATTTATGGAGAAAGTGCCAGGAACTATGCTTAACTGGCGACCGACCGCGGTTGGAGGGGGTATCGCCAGTGGTGAGGACAGAACACAAATCTGAGAGGACAGGCACAGAGCTCTTGACCATAGTGGCCTGGGAAGATCTGAAGGACTTTCACTTTCTACTCGAGTATATTCCAATGAACGGAGTTTGATTTTGTAATTTAAAAAAAGACTGGGATGAAAGCATCATCGTGCAAGTCAAAAGATAGTTAAAAACTGGAAGAAAATCGGGGCAGCATACATCAGTAACAGGCGAAAGATCAGCGCATAGAATATACAAAGAATGCCTACAAGTGAGTAGGTAAAAGACAAGATTTCCTGGACCTCTTGCTTAAAATTGAGGCCCACCCCTAAGGCTTTCCCTAGCTCCTTCTCCTTCTTCTTTTTATCCAATCTAACATGCTATATCTCTTCTTGATTTCTTTTGTCTAAGTCTTTCTCTCAGAACTAAACTGTCACCTCCTTGAGGGCAGAAAAGTTTGTCTACTTAACTTGACACAAAATCCCTAGCACCTAGGATACTGCTTTGCACATAGTAAGCATTCTAGTACATATTTGCTGAATGAATTAATTAATGGTCAAATGACCAGGAAGTTCACAGAAAAACAAATGGCCATTAACATAGAACAGATGGTCAATTTGACTTGGAAACAGAAAAATGCAAATTAAACCATGAGATACCATTTTTCACCCACTAGATCGGCACGCATGTAGATATTTGTTAATATGAAGTATTCTGGAGACTGTAGGGGAACAGGCACTCTCATGTGGCTGATAGGAATATAAACTGGTACAACTAGTTTAAAGAGTATTAGAGGGCCGGGCGCGGTGGCTCACGCCTGTAATCCTAGCACTCTGGGAGGCTGAGGTGGGCGGATTGCTCTAGGTCAGGAGTTCAAACCCAGCCTGAGCAAGATCGAGACCCCTGTCTCTACTATAAATAGAGAGAAATTGGCCAACTAAAAATATATAGAAAAAATTAGCCGGACATGGTGGCGCATGCCTGTAGTCCTGGCTACTCAGGAGGCTGAGGCAGGAGGAGGATTGCTTGAGCCCAGGAGTTCGAGGTTGCTGTGAGCTAGGCTGACGCCACGGCACTCCAGCCCAGGCAACGGAGTGAGACTCTGACTCAAAAAAAAAGAGTATTGGAGCAGTACCTCTAACATAAACACACATAAATAAATCAATACTCTCTGACTCAGTAATTCCACCTCTCACTATGCACCACAAAGACTATACGTATAGTAGACATGTAGAAAAATGTTTGTTACAACAAATGTAATAATGAACAATGAGTTATATCAATAGCCTGATGACTAACGTGGCATGCTCTGAAATACTAAGCAGTGTTTTTAAAAAATAGTAAGGCATAGGTCATGAATTGATCCAGAAAGATCTAGAACACACTGTTAAAAAAGAAAAGCAATGGGTAGAAAACCACATACAACATGATAAAACTTATAAAACAATGACGAGTGTTTTCTGTCCACCCATTCATATGCGTGTAAATGCAATAGGAAAAGGAGTGGAAGGGTGTGCTCCTCAACCCGACCACACCATCACCTTTCTCAGTGACAAAAGTCCAGAGCAGGAAGGGCAGCACTGAGAAGAGATTTTGGTTTTGTTGTTTTTGCTTTGCAAAAATATATTTCCTCATCTCCTCTCCTGGTTTCATCAGGAGGTGGCATGGAGAAGAAAAGTAGGTGGGATGGATCTGAGCCCTGATGGTCTGAGCGTGAGGCCACTTCCTCCTCTGATGACAGGAGAGCAGAAACCTCCTGCTGGGTGTACTCAGGGTAAACAGCCAGGGAGCACCTGGAGATAAAATCTGTCCCTCCCCACGGCTCTATCTGAATCCAGACACTTCTATCCTCTCCCCTGTTGGCACACCCGCCTGAGCCGCCGTCGCCTCTCTCACGGGGGTGACTAGCACTGCCCGACTTGCCTCTTGCTGGTCTTTCACGGAACAGCTCAACGACCTTTTAAAAATGCAAATCAGATCTAGGCACTCCCCTGCCTACAACCCTCCAAAGACTTCCTGTGGCCTTAAAATAAAATCCAAACTCAGTGCTATGGTCTACTAGGCTTCCAAAAGCCAAGCACTGGCCTTGTCTGCCACCCAGTTAGGATCCTGCCTACAGCAGCCATGCTCTTCTTCCCTGGACATACCAAGCCCTTTCTGACTTCAGGGCCTTTGCACAAGCTATTTTCTCTGCCTGGAATACTCTTCCACTAGTACATTGGTTTTTCATATCCTCGGGTTTTTCCCAAACCACATTATTTACATACACCCAGGGCTAAAGCCAGCTCTGTTGGCCTTGCAAGAACCAACTGTTAAAGTTTTAGGGATTTAAAGAGCCAGTTGACACCACTTTGGTATGGATATTCCCAGCCATGGTGGGAATATTTACACCACAAAAATTGGCAAATACTATGAATTGGGGCTTTTTTTCCCCTGAAAAATCATATGTTAAGCAATTATTAGCACACCACTGGAGTATTTAATTCATTACCCTCAAACCCTTGTTCAGTTAGCTGTTTCTTTGTTTATGAGCATCTCTTTCTCCCACCCGTACACGAGCTCCGCAGAAGCGGGGATCCTGCTCGTTCTGTTAAGCGCGGCCGACGGGCACTGCTGACTGAACGGCCGCCAACAGCAACGATGCGGCACCGAACGCACACGAATCACGACAAAACCATGCGGGATGGGCATACTGTTGCCTGCATCTTGCAGATGAGGAAACTGAGGTTTGCCAAAGTCAAGCAACTTGCCCCAGTCAACGCGGTAAGTATAAGGCAGAGTCAGAATTCGAACTCCGGACTCCCGGACTCCAAGCCCACCCCCCTATCCTGCTACACTTTCCGTGTCCTTGGCATCTGGTGGATTCCCAGCTGCCCCCTGACCCATGACTACGGGTCAGAAAGTGCACATCCTCAAAGGAAGCACGAGCAAGAGCTGAATTAGAAGATCAAGGGCGTTCTTCCTGCTAAACGGGAGGGCAGGGCTGGGGGAGAGAGAAAGGAAGACAGAGGCAGATTGGCCCGGGGGCGGGAGAGCTGGGGAGTAGAGAAAGAAACAAATAGCAACTAAAACAAACAAAAACGGTTGCTCCTTAAGAGAAAAACCTCCTTTCTTAGAAAAGCCTAGAACAATCTCTCTCGTTCACGGACGGGAGCAGGTGGAGCCACCCCACGCTGGCTAACGGTCCCCTGCCCCGGGCTAACATCAGGAAAGGGCGGGATGCAGGAGAGGAGTGAAGCTTCTCTCTTTGGGTCGGACACAGCTCAGCTTCAGTCCTGGCTCCACTCCTAACAGCTGCGAGACTCCGAAGCCACCGCTCCACCCTCGTGAGTTTCCACTCAGGTTCCAGTCACAGAGGGACGTCACCCCCCCTCCCCAGGCCTCTTCAAAGGACTAACTAGGATGACTTTCGCTGGGTGCCAAAGCGCAGCGCGCAGTAGGAGCCCACGGAACAAGAATTGTCATAGGAGCATGATCAAAACAGGGAGGCGACTTTACAGAGCGGAACGGGAGGGCCGAGAGCAGACACGAATAACTCAAAAAGTGAGCGACGACCCGAATCTGCCCGTGTGGAAAAGCCCAGGGACCACTAATTCCAGTCCCCTCCGTGGGCAGCTGAGCAGGCACTGACTTGGGGCGCCGGGAGGAGGAGGGCCCGGGTGAGGCGGCCTGGCCATCCTGGGTGGAAAGGACACTTCCCATCCACCCCCCAGAAGGTGGACAACCTGCCCGGAGCTCCGACTGCTCAGGTTCATTCCGGAACAGCCTTCCCTGCCAGCCCCGCGAGGCTTTCGCTAGCTATTTACTTGCTTCTCCAAACACCGAGCCATGTGGGCTTTGCAAACAGAACCTGATGTCTTGAGAAGACACGATCTGCCCTCAAGGGCCCGAACTCCCTGCCGTCCCCATTTTAGGGAGACTCTGGTCGGGAGACTTCGGTGTGGCCTTCCCAGGCTCCCCCAAAGGTGAGGTCGTCCCGCTGGCGCTGGCGGGGCAAGCAGGGTCGCCCTGCAGGCAGAGCAGAGGCCCCAGCCGGCCTCCAGAGCACAGGAGGCTCTACTTCCTGCGGCCAAGGTGAGAGCGAAAGTTCTCTGCTTCTTGTAATTTCCCAGGCAGCTGAGGAGTTTCCAGGAAGGCGGCGTGTTTCCTGAGCACAGCGTGCAGAGCTGAATGCACGGGCAGGGAGCGTCGCGGCGCGCGTGGGGGTGGGGGCCCGTGCTGCAGCTCGACGTGACTTCCGCATGCAAACTGCAGGCTTGGGGACATCCACTCTGTCCCCTTGCCAGCTCAGCTACTTGCAAATCAGATCCAAGGAAGATCAAGTGATGTGTGATTTAAACATCCTCCCCATACATCTAACCTCGTCACATGGAAAACTTTGCACCCTCCGCAGGTGGAGGTTTTCCTATGCAGTATATTCTGATCGCTGGCAAGCACGGCTAATGCGGTCCCCACACAAGGCTCAGAGCAAAGCAGTGTTGTCCTCTTTAGATGAGAAAACTGAGGCTCAGCCGCGTGAAGTAACCTACTCGCCACCCTACGGCTCATAAGCGAATGGGTGGCGACAGCCTCCACCAGCCCTGCTTGCGTCCTCTGTCTGGTGGCTGGCTTCTGATTCAGAAAGAGGTGAAGTCCCCGAGTCTGGACTCTGCACTTTGAGACAGGCAGGTCCATCCTACAGGCTC